CCTCATTATCAGCGCGTCATTATTATCAGTGCAACCTCATTATCAGGGCGTCCTCATTATCAGTGCGTCCTTATTATCATTACAACTTAATAAATAAGTTATATTTTTAAACATATAATGTGGATAAATGTTGCAAGATTATAGGGATTATATGAGAACCATGAAAAATATTTACAAGATTTCTTCAAATCAATTTTTACCTGAGACAAATTCATAATTGTATTTTAAATTTCTAATAATTGTTCTTGTTTTGTTGGTGCAAGTTTGAATTTAATGATTTCAAACATCTATAGTCTTAAACTGTGCTGGCACAAACGTCGGACTAGTACAAACGTCTGACTGGTACAAACGTCGGACTAGTACAAACGTCCGACTGGTACAAACGTCGGACTAGTACAAACGTCGGACTAGTACAAACGTCGGACTGGTACAAACGTCGGACTAGTACAAACGTCGGACTAGTACAAACGTCGGACTGGTACAAACGTCGGACTTATATATATATACCCGGAAATATAAGAAAAGATAATGTTTATGAGACAATTATCGCTGTTGAATCAGTGTTCTATATACATGTATTTGTATAGTGTAACCTGCAGATTGGCTGCCCTTCTATACAACCAAAATAGCAAAACCTTTGCCAAAAAAACTTTTCTTCATTAATACTAAGCAAATAGTTTACTTACGTGTACTCTCACTTTCTAGATAGTTACTCTTGCTTAGATATTTACTCATGTTTAAAGGGAGTGGCCGGCATTGTATGGTACTTGAAATGAGAATGCAGTCTTGTGGAGATTTTTTTTAGGAATCATTTGAGACCTATGAGACGCTTTTACGATGCATATTTGTACAGCAAGAGCGCAAATTCTATCTTTTAAATCCTCTTAGATTGTTTATTTTTGAGAGATAATTATAAGAATCAGTCTAAAAAATGTAGGAAAATTCTACAGTAAACTAATTAGTTGTTTAGGAACATGTTGTGAGAATAAAAAATTAACTATTAACATCCAAAAAAAGTAATCTTATTAAGTTGTTGGTTTCTGTAATGTCTCATTGTTCAGTATAATTTTCTGTAGATTTTCTGGAATTTTTATTGAAAAGACGAAATTGGAAGAATTCGTAGAAATCTCCGAACAAATTTGTAAATAATAGGAAATTGAATATAATGATGAAAACGAAATAACTAATTCTAACATTGATTTAATTGAGAAAATTTAATTGAGAAATATGTATCAAAACATCTAATTAGTTTACTGCCGAATTTTTATATAGTTTTGTCGTCATTATTTAAAATTTTTAAAAAAGTCGATTTTCAAAACGAAATCACCCAAACTGATGATTTTGAACGACGACTTTGCGCTTAAACTCAGTAAATATCAATAAAACGTTTTATATGTCTCATATGAATCCTTAAAAAGTTACTCCACAATACTACATTCTCAGTTCAACTACAGTACGTTGCCGGTCACTCCCTTTACTATCGATATTTACTCTTACTTACTATAGTGTTTTTCTTACTTATAGCTTTTCTTACTGTAAGTTACTCTCAGATACAATAAATAGTTTCTCTCACTTACTATAAATAGTTACTCTTACTTTTCGTGGCTTGTTAAAATAACTTCACATTCTTGTACTCCAAAATAAGCCCCCCCCCCCCATTCTTCGGGATTAACTTGAAGTATAGAAGAAATATTTAGAAAAACTGAGAAGAGTTAAGTAAATCAATTCTTCATATTTCTGTCCGAGACTCTTTACATCTATCTTCTCTCCAATTCAGCAAACCTGATTTCATCCTCTCATCAACCCTCCAGCAGACCTGAATCCATCCTCTCATCAACCCTCCAGCAGACCTGAATCCATCCTCTCATCAACCCTCCAGCAGACCTGAATACATCCTCTCATCAACCCAGCAGACCTGAATCTATCTTCTCATCAACGCTCCAGCAGACCTGAATCCATCCTCTCATCAACCCTCCAGCAGACCTGAATCCATCCTCTCATCAACCCCCCAGCAGACCTGATTTCATNAGACCTGAATCTATCTTCTCATCAACCCAGCAGACCTGAATCCATCTTCTCATCAACCCAGCTGACCTGAATCCATCTTCCCATCAACCCAGCAGACCTGAATACATCTTCTCATCAACCCAGCAGACCTGAATCCATCTTTTCATCAACCCAGCAGACCTGAATCCATCTTTTCATCAACCCAGCTGACCTGATTTCATCCTCTCATCAACCCTCCAGCTGACCTGATTTCATCCTCTCATCAACCCTCCAGCAGACCTGAATTCATTCTCTCATCAACCCAGCAGACCTGAATCTATCCTCTCATCAACCTAGCAGACCTGAATCCATCTTCTCATCAACCCAGCAGACCTGAATCTATCCTTTCATCGACCCAGCAGACCTGAATCTATCTTCTCATCAACCCAGCAGACCTGAATCCATCTTCTCATCAACCCAGCTGACCTGAATCCATCTTCCCATCAACCCAGCAGACCTGAATACATCTTCTCATCAACCCAGCAGACCTGAATCCATCTTTTCATCAACCCAGCAGACCTGATTTAATCTTTTCATCAACCCAGCAGACCTGAATCCATCTTTTCATTAACCTAGCAGACCTGAATCCATTTTCTCATCAACCCAGCAGGCCTGAATTTATCCTCTCATCAACCCAGCAGACCTGAATTTATCCTCTCATCAACCCAGCAGACCTGAATTTATCCTCTCGTCAACCTAGCAGACCTGAATTTATCCTCTCATCAAACTAGCAGACCTGAATTTATTCTCTCATCAACCTAGCAGACCTGAATTTATCCTCTCATCAACCCAGCAGACCTGAATCCATCTTTTCATCAACCTAGCAGATCTGAATCCATCTTCTCATCAACCCAGCAGACCTGAATCCATCTTTTCATCAACCCAGCAGACCTGAATCCATCTTTTCATCAACCCAGCAGATCTTGATCAATCTTCTTAATCCAATTTTGTCCTGAACTTTGCCCAGTTAAATTTCCTGAATCCTACCTTATTCAGCTCAGCAGTCCTGAATCCATCTGTTCATATCTCTATTGAGAACAAAGATAAATATAAGATTGTTTACAAAATCAATATTTTGTATAAACTGAGGCGAAGTAAACCTAATATCCTGAAACCTGTAGAAACTAGAGAGCTGAGAAGATACAGGATATATGATATGAGAGATTAAACTTCCTGTCTATGGAGCAGAATTTAAGGCAGGAACTGTTCTATATTGATCCTCTCTCTCTATATATACTTAAAACTCAACTAAGTTTAAACTTTTAAATTATACAGATATATCAGAGTTTTAAATTTTACAGATATATCAGAGTTTTAAATGATATAGATATATCAGAGTTTTAAATTATACAGATATATCAGAGTTTTAAATTTCGTCCAACAGAATTTAACTTTTCCTACCTTGCAAATGTAATGCAGTTATGCACTCGAGCTCTTGCATTCATTTCTTAAGTCTTAAGTCTTTTATATAACATTCTACTTTCTATAAAAATATTCAGCACATAAAAGGATGAAGACATTCTTGTTATCTATCTATAAATTGATCATTTCCAAATGTAGATTTATGCCGGAGAGAACAAAATTCAGTTGCCGGAATTTACCAGTTATCTAGATAAAACCGACGATTTTTCCCTCATTATTACTCACATAAAGGTTAAAAAGTTACCCTATTGAACTGGGCATGCAACTATATACTGGAGATATCTTGAAATTACATCTTAAGTCCCTTTCACATATTATTTATGTTAGCTATAGCTGGCCAAACGGCTGGACCAAATTTTTTTAGGGATTCCGTTTGTACTCTGGGGGATAGGCTAAAGAAATTAAAATTTTTTGAAATTCCACGTTCAAACCAGGCACTTCAGCTAAAATTTTAATTTAATACCAAAACGGCGGTCGTATTATATATATATATATATATATATATATATATATAAAATAACCTTAAAGGGGGTCATATGTGAGATCCCACAAAATTTGTTGGTCTAATTAGTTTAGCCGTTTTCACGTTTATTTAATGAATCCAAAAAACTAAAAAACAAGAAATATATTATATATAAAAGAACCTTAAAGTATCAAGTATAAATCTATAAGAACTTGAATCCTATTAACTATCCTATTTTATCCTCTTCCTTTCTCATCCTTTTGACATTTGATTCTAGAGGTAAAAATGTAAAATCATTCTTTTCATCTTATCTTTTAATATCAAAACTAGGGGTCTTCTCCAGATGTACGCCTAGAAAAGAGAAATATTATCTGAGCCCTACATCAAAATACTAGGCCTGGGCATCTATTCAATCCGTTCTTTGATTTTTTTTAGGAGGGGGGGGCTTGTGGATCTACAGGAGATAGTTACCAGACCTGAGACTGATTTTAATGAATTTGAGAGGTCGCTGAAATACTACCTACAGCTGGTTCAAATCCAGAATCACAGATTGAAATTTTCATGAATTTTTAACCTTGAATCGGTGATTCAGGATTTAGACCGGCGGTAGGTAGTTTAGCAACAACTCCCTCACATTCATTAAAGTTCGCCCTATGAACAGAAGAAAAACTAACCGTTTATACAAATATCTTTTGCAAAGAATAATAGAAGCAGTCTTAAAATTTAATCCATATATGTAAAGCTTCCTAGATTTATCGGGGGCCTTCAAACGCAAAATAAAGTTAAATGTGCAAGATCAATGCCCATTGCCCCAGCGCTAATCAAAGCTCTATAAACTATAATCTCCTTTACTCTATATCGTTATATTAAATTCAAGAAACAAAAAATGTTCATCATAATGAAAACACAGGAAACCTGCCTGTCGTTTGAACACACTTTCAAAGAACAAACTTTTTGTGCGCTTTGCGCATCTTCTGTATTTCGATGGGCAGCGGTAAAGTGCGTGCAGAACAAACTGTCATTGATTTTCATTAGGCCAGGTGATAATGGTTGGATTCACATTTTCTGTAAAGTTTCAGAGCAAAGCATGTATTGAGGTTGGTTTGATTCTCCAGGAATAAATATAGCACCAGAGATGAGCAAGGAACAAAGGTAGGAGAGAAATTAATATTCTGACAAAGAATTCTCAAACTTTGAAAGAATATCCAGGAAGTTTCATCAATTAATGATAAAAACAGCTTTAGAGGTAATCCGAGCTAACAAGATAAAGGCCTGCCAGTAAGTAGAAGGGGAGGAGAAACAGGAGTAAGGGGAGAAGGAGAAACAGGAGTAGGAGGGGAGGAGAAACAGGAGGAGGAGGGGAGGAAAAATACGAGTATGAGGGGGGTAAACAGGAGTAATAGGGGAGGAGAAACAGTTGTAGATCGGGGAGGAGAAACAGGAGGAGGGGAAGAGATATAGGTGTAGGAGAAACAGAAGTAGAAGGGAAGGAGAAACAGGAGTAGGAGGGAAGGAGTAACAGGAGTAAGAGAAGAGGAAAAACAGGAGTAGTTGGGGAACTAGGAGAAACAGGAATAATTGGAGAAACAGGAGGAGGGGAGGAGCACAGAAGTAGAGGAATAGAAACAAGAGTAGGAGTGGAGGAGAAACAGGAGTAGGAGTGGAGGAGAAATAGGATTAGGAGGGGAGGAGAAACAGGAGTAATATAAATGTAAGAGGAAGAGTACATTCTAGAGAAATTTTGTTCACGGAGATGCATAGTTAGAGCACATGACCCCATAGAGCTAGTGTCATAGTGCCGCAAATGACAGAGGGAGCATAAAAAATAATTTGGAAGAAGTAGGTCACAGACAAGTATATAAATGATCGATAAAGACAAGGAAGTTGAGAAAGTGAAGAAGTAGGATGAGAGGAATCCAAGATAAACTTATATAATTACCAACTTTCAACCAATTGGATTTAAGTTTGAAGTTGTCTCTACCTTCTCTTCCCTCTAGATTAAACAAATATAGGAAACCTTGTGTTCATTCCACGCCAGAGAAGGATATATTAGAGTATGTTGGACGAAACCTATTTAGGGAAACTAATATCTTTTTCAGTGCAGATTTTAGTTAACGCTGTACTGCAATGCATTGTACTAAACTGTACATTGCTTTGTACCAATTTGTTCTATGGTCAATTGTATTGCTTTATTTTGGACTACACTACACTGCATTGCTTTGAACCTAACTGTGAAGTGTACTGCACTGTATTGATTCTATTTAGTTAATCCAATATGTTCGGAGCCAGGGCGATTAAACGAAGGAGGGACAAGGAGGCAGAACTAAAGGTAAACAATGATATATTTTAGAAAGGATTTTAAAAGAAAGATCTCTTAAATAAATACTTAGTGTCGCCGTTATAAACTCTATTCTACATGATATCCCAATAAACATGACAGTTGACAACGTACTTAGATCTTTGATAGATATCTACACTCAACAGAGAAGAAAATATATAAAGAGCAATTCACATTCGTGGAACCTAGAGGGAACTTACCTAAGGTTTTTCTGATCTAAAAGAGTTTATGGAACCGGATAAACTTGCTTTTCTCATCCTTGTCACTACTCGAGGAGCTAAAAGAGTTTATGTAACCGGATAAACTTGCTTTTCTCATCCTTGTCACTACTCGAGGAGCTAAAAGAGTTTATGGAACCGGATAAACTTGCCTTTCTCATCCTTGTCAATACTCGAGGAGCTAAAAGAGTTTATGGAACCGGATAAACTTGCTTTTCTAATCCTTGTCAATACTCGAGAAGCTAAAAGAGTTTATGGAACCGGATAAACTTGCTTTTCTCATCCTTGCCAATACTCGAGAAGCTGCCCATAGTTTGCATTGGCGGAAGAAGCTCAGAATTTACGAAATGTTCTTCAATTTTGAATATATGATATATGTTAGTTGTATTCTGTTATATTCTAGGCAGCGAAGGCCAATGGTCCACCTCCAGCATTTGAACGTCAAGGGCCATCAGGAGTCAAGTAATATTTTAGATTTCATTCTACAGATCCTTCAGAGTTCAAGTTGGGATATTTTAACCTTATCACCGGGGGGGGGGGTTATTTTTCAGCCCCCCCCCCTCCTTTGTTTCCATAGAGTTGAGATATTGGAGGGTGATTAACGACTATTGTTGAATTTTCTAAGGTCTACTTATTTTCAATAAATAGTCACGGTGGTGGGGAGGTTTAAAAACTTTCAAAAATTTCATCGAACAAATATTATTTCTAAATGACCGTTCTTGTGCAAGCCGTTTTTATGTTCTGAAGAAAAAATAACGGGGGGGGGAAGTGATAGAGTTTTTATCACAAGATTTCGTACAGATCTGTTAAGTAATAAAAATAATAGCCAAATACTTTAATTAAACCCGAGTAGACATTTGAAAACATAGAAGTCTTGTTTGATTTCTTATAAAGACACTTAATAAAGGATCTTTATTCTATATTTACAGGCGCTTCGCGCACATCTTCCCGGTAATAATCTTATCTTCTTGTTGCAAAACTTTCTGTACTGTATGTCTATCGTAAATTTTAAAATGAATTTAGCAGATTTTTCGTTTTCACAACATTTTATATAGAACATTTTTTTATTCTGACCGACATAAACAAAGTTTGTATGCATTACAACATTCCCTGTGGGACTTGTGGTCGTGGAGTAACCACACACAAAATTGGGCCTGATTGTTTAGCCGTTTCCATTTTTAATGGATACAAACAAACAGACACCCAAACCAATAGAATTATATAAAATAAGAAAAATATTTACATTAAGAATTTTAAATATATATTTATATCAAGATTACACCAACTAGATATAATTCTAGGGGTGGCAAGGCTAAGGCTGCAAAAAATAACGGGAAGAAAGGAGCTAAACAGTCCGGGAAAAAAGAGATCTATGATTTGATTGTAAATATTGATCTAGCAGAGTGGAAACTATCAGATGAACAGGTTGGAGTAAATTGTAAATATTGATCTATAGCTGGTAAATATCTTATAAACAGGTAGGAGTAAATTGTAAATATTGAAATAGTTGGTAAATAACTAATCAACAGGTTGGAGTAAATTGTAAATATTGATCTATAGCTGGTAAATATCTGATCAACAGGTTGGAGTAAATTGTAAATATTGATATAGCTGGTAAATATCTAATTAACAGGTTGGAGTAAATTATAAATATTGATATAGCTGGTAAATATCTGATCAACAGTTTGGAGTAAATTATAATATTGATCTATGCTGGTAAGTATCTTATATGCAGGTTGGAGTAAATTGTAAATATTGATTTATAGCTGGTAAATTGTAAATATTGATCTATGCTGGTAAATATCTTATATAAAGGTTGGAGTAAATTGTAAATATTGATCTATAGCTGGTAAATTGTAAATATTGATTTATGCTGGTAAATATCTAATGAACAGGTAGGAGTAAATTGTAAATATTGATATAGCTGGTAAATATCTTATCAACAGGTTGCAGTAAATTATAAATATTGATATAGCTGGTAAATATCTTATCAACAGGTTGGAGTAAATTGTAAATATTGATCTATAGCTGGTAAATATCTTATAAACAGGTTGGAGTAAATTATAAATATTGATATAGCTGGTAAATATCTAATCAACAGGTTGGAGTAAATTGTAAATATTGATATAGCTAGTAAATATCTAATTTTTAAAAAACTATTACTTAAAAGTAAAACCATCCAGGATTAAATCCTGTAAAAAGGACAGAGTTTACTCGAAAAAAGACATCCCGATCGTAACTGCTATGATTGGCAGCTCCCGGCTTATCATGGCTGACAACACTGGCTCAATCAAAGAAACCCTTCTCCAAAACTTTCCTAAAATGATCATCCTAGGTTGCTTGAGTCTCATGCTTAGAATGGAAATCGAAGTATTAAATGACAATCAAATGAGCTAGTGCTTTAATAAATTAAATTTCGGTATCCAAATTTTGACAGGTAAAAAATTGGAAAGAATTGTTCTCCAGAATTTAAACGTAAAAGACCACGCTATAGTACTGTTGTTTAAAGTGCTGAAATCATGAGAAAGTGACCAGACTGGAACGGATTCGCCTGTGCCTTTTCTCAAAGGGGCACTGGACCCCTTTTTTGCATGGGTCTAGTGCCCCTTGGTACCGAACCTACGCAGGGTACCAATAAAAAATAATAAAACCATTTGCTTATAAGTTCAACCATTTCTACGGTGTCCATTTCCCGAAACATTATAAAAAATAGTTTTACTGACGTTAGAGGAAATGAAAAGCTTCCATTTAATCCTTTAGTTTTATTATGTGGTTAACAATGCATATGCTTCTATCAGTTCACTATAAAATACCTTGATAATATTCGTGTTTTCTTGATTGAAGATTTAAAAATCTCACTTCCCCCTCATTTTCCAAATTGTAAAGATCATTTGTTCTTTATGCATGGTAGTTTGTAAGCATTTTTACATACTGAAAAGATTAATCATGAAATTAAGAGAAAGTACAGGCTTCTTTTACGCATTCAGTTAAAAGTGTACAGTTACAACTTGAGTATAGGTCCCCAAAGTTTCTCTTCAAGTTCACTGGATGTCCCCCAATTTCCTGTTTTATATTTTTTGATTCGGGAAGTTTTTTCTAGAACTCCGGTTACAGATGGAGAAATAAAACCAAACCAATTCAAAAACTTGTGCTCGATTTGAAATGAAAAGTGATGAAAATTTTATCTAAAGTTTTTTTGAATAATTCTGATAGGATCCCGCATAGAACTTTTAATTCCCCGTAATGTTAGCAACGGGACGTTATTTGTATTTATCTCTAGCAACTTTAGTACCTTTAGCTGTAATCTTAAGACTCCGATTTCCTGCCTTTGCCTCTTGAATAAAAATTAATAATATTTTGAATATACCATTCTTCTGACACATTCGTAGAACCAAAATGCTGCTGTTTATTAGTATTTGTGTATTGTTCCATTAAATCAGTTTTTTAATGCAGACATATACCCTACATTCTTGCCTACTGCAGACATATACACTACATTCTCGTCTACTGCAGACGTATACCCTAAATTCTTGTCTACTGCAGACATATACCCTACATTCTTGTCTACTGCAGACGTATACTCTAAATTCTTGTCTACTGCAGACATATACCCTACATTCTTGTCTACTGCAGACATATACCCTACATTCTTGTCTACTGCAGACATATACCCTACATTCTTGTCTGCTGCAGACATATACCCTACAATCCTGTCTACTACAGACATATACCCTACATTCTTGTCTGCTGCAGTCGTATACCCTACATTCCTGTCTACTGCAGACGTATACCCTACATTCTTGTCTACTGCAGACATATACCCTACATTCTTGCCTACTGCAGACATATACCCTACATTCTTGTCAACTGCAGACATATACACTACATTCTTGTCAACTGCAGACATATACACTACATTCTTGTCTACTGCAGACATATACCCTACATTCTTGTAATGTAGTCTTTTTGGTGTATTTTTATGGTGTTAATTGACTTTTTGAACAAAACAATTCCAGGGGGGGCAAAAAAAAATTTTTCGCTCTTCGCGCGAAATCTTGCCCCCCCCTGGCTAAAATCCTGTGTACGCGCCTGATTCCTGTCTACTGCAGCCGTATACCTTACATTCCTGTCTACTGCAGACGTATACCTTACATTCTTGTCTAATGCAGACGTATACCTTACATTCTTGTCTACTGCAGACATATACCCTACATTCTTGTCTACTGCAGACATATACCCTACATTCTTGTCTACTGCAGACATTCTTGTCTACTGCAGATATATACCCTACAATCCTGTCTACTGCAGACATATACCCTACATTCTTGTCTACTGCAGACGTATACTCTACATTCTTGTCGACTGCAGACATATACCCTACATTCTTGTCTACTGCAGATATATACCCTACAATCCTGTCTACTGCAGACATATACCCTACATTCTTGTCTGCTGCAGTCGTATACCCTACATTCCTGTCTACTGCAGACGTATACCCTTCATTCTTGTCTACTGCAGACATATACCCTACATTCTTGTCTACTGCAGACATATACCCTACATTCCTGTCTACTGCAGACGTATACCTTACATTCTTGTCTACTGCAGACATATACCTTACATTCTTGTCTGCTGCAGACATGTACTCTACATTCTTGTCTACTGCAGACATATACCCTACATTCCTGTCTACTGCATACGTATACCCTACATTCCTGTCTACTGCTTACGTATACCGTACATTCTTGTCTACTGCAGACGTATACCTTAAATTCTTGTCTACTGCAGACATATACCCTACATTCTTGTCTACTGCAGACAAATACCCTACATTCTTGTCTACTGCAGACATATACCCTACATTCTTGTCTACTACAGACATATACCCTACATTCTTGTCTACTTTAATTATTATGTTGTCTTCACCAACATCAAAAGATTGCTCAAAGGTTCTGCGGGTTGGACATAAATTTAAGATTTTGGTATTTAAACTTTTTGAAAAAACAGAATTAACTTCTTTGTAAACCTTTAAAAAAATTATGTCATATTTTTTAAGGATTACTTTCTTTTTACAAAATTGTTTTGCTGTTGCTGTTTTAATTGTAACTTGATGTGGTTTTGGAGAAACAGGGATTTTAAATTTGAGCTCATTTTGAAGTATATTGGTGAATAGGTTGGACCGTTTGAAAATTCTAAATTAAACTGATTTAACTCTCGTGTTCAGTTCAATTTGAAAAATAGAACATACTTGTACCTAAATTTAGTTTTTATTAAACTTCTTTTTGAATATCTTCATCAGTAAGGTTAAAAAAATATTTCCGCTTAGCTCTTTTTTAATTTCATGAATTTCTGATTTAACATAATGGATTTTTGTAGAGAAATAACAACTCTACTAAATATTGAATCAATCCCGTTCATTACTTCATACTTTACCACTTTTGAATCTAATTTTTCTTTTTCATTTAGTATTTAAATATTGATCTATAGCTGATAAATATCTAATGAAAAGCTTGAATTGTAAATATATACAAAAGAATTGATTATATTGTCTGCGTGGTTCAGCTACTGAAAGATTTTTAAGATATTGAAAAAAGCCAAACAAGACAAATATTTTTAAGAACCGTAACGTCATCTCCGCTGAAATCATCTTTTTTAATATTATCAACATTACTTATTTTCTCTAATAATATAAGTTTTTAACTATGTCATACAATAACATCTGGGTTTGCTGCTGAAAGCTGCCAATGCTGGTGAAGCAATTACAATCAATTAAGTGTTTGTCTATCAACTTAGCACGTTAAAAATTATGAACCCAAGTAATATATATATACATATTTATATATATATATATCTATATATCTATATCTATATCTATATACATATATATATATATGTCTCACTGCTCACATCGTTTATTGATATAAATTATTGATTTCAAAATAACAAAATTTTTAATTTTATTTCGCATTTTACTTGAATACAAGAAGAGAAACCAAACTAACAAAACATAGAAAATGATTAAAATTCATTAGACATTCATTTCATTTTAAGAAGTTTTTAATTTATGCTTAACAATATGTTAAATCAAGGTTCGAACTCATCATCTGAGAGTGGAAGGAAGAGACAAGACAATAATTCATCCTGATCATCTGCCAGCGGGTTGGATAGAACATGCTTCTCCTCTGAGGACGCTGATCTATCTTCTTTTTCAGTTGTTGGGACGGATGAGGGGATAGGGTCGTTCTTCCCTTTAATGGCAGATGAGCTGGGGTTTATACTCTGGGTAGGGGTCGGTTCGTCTTCAGATAGCTCCAGGATTAAACTGTCCTCTGAGCTTGCCGATAAATCAGGTGGATCGTCTACTCCGACCTGAAGTTCATTAATCAACCGTAGAAATGCACAGGAATCCAGTATTCCACTTTGCTCCAAACCAGAGAGAAACATGATGAAATTCCTGAACAGATTTAGTGAGAATATAGTTGCTCCATGTAAACGAATAAAGCTGGAAATTGTATCTGGTAGATGAATAAACCCTATATAAGGTTTGTCTACTAAGAAACTGTCCCAGAGACGCATAAATCTCTTTTCTCCCGGATTAACATCTACAAAATCCGCAATATTTCTCTGGATAATCTCCGGGACGCTTGAGTACGAGGTCGGGAGAAACTCCTCGTTCTCCTGGTCATAGGGAACAGAGTTTCGACCGTGAACAATCATTCGAGTTTTTAAATCTTTGACTGTTTTCGTTAATTTACTTCGTTTTCCATTCACAACTTTGGAATGAGGCAGTACTATCTTCTTTTCAATAATTTGAACCTTATTCTTTCTGGATTTAGGTTTAGATTTATTTTCATCTTTCTCCGATCTCCCAAACTCCTCCTCCGAACATGAAATCTCATCTTCGATTGTGTTAAGCTCTTTATCAGTTTTAGTTCTACGGCTTGTTGAAGGAGTCAAGTTAAGCTCTTTCCTCACATATGGTCTTCGTTTACTTTCGGAGATCATTACTGTCTCCTCTTCTCGCAAACTTCTCTTATCGTCGGATCCCTTGGACGAAAACAGGCTTCGTCTCTTTCCCTTGACGTTTAAACGATCGTCTAAATAATTTTTAAAACTGTCCAAAGTAGATTTATCTTTTCCCTCCAATATTTCGTCGCGCTTTGTGTTGTGGAAATCTTTGTTTGAGCTGGACTTAGAATTGGGGTTTCTTATTACAGATGATTTCTCAGGACTAGGAACTGTTGTCTCTGGTTCGGAGGTACTTTTCTTCCTTCTGGTCTTAGTTAGAGAAGATGGTCTTACTAGATTCCGCCCCCGCGCATTGTTATCCTCTACAACTCTTTTAGAAGATTTCTTTCTTATCTTGGATATGAATTTTTCACCCGCCGAGGAATTATTCAGCTCAACCTCGTATGACTGACTGGAATCCTCAGTCTCCATGTTATCCAGGATATCTAGCTCAATATCCGAGTTCACTCCTCCTTTACGCTTTCTACTTTTTAACAGGGGTTCTTTTTCAGACATATGAGAAGATACAGGATAATTTATGTCGTCCAATTCCATTTTGACATCTGCTTTAATCTTCTTAAGTCTTGCCGGGGACGCGATCCATTTCTCTTTTAACTTCCTTGTTCTGCAGACTTTCTTTAATTCTAGCTCCGGGACTATATTTTCCTCATCTGATCCTCGTCTTCTCTTCCTGGATACACGGTTCAAGGTATCACAGTCTATCTCGGAGACGGATTGCTCTGAATCATTGCCAGAATTAAGCTCAGTATAATTATTAATGGTTAGAATAGGTTTGAGCAGAACAGGCAGCATAGGAATTTCGCACTCGATACAAAATCCACAGGTACAAGTTAACCCGTTCACGTTAGCACCCGGATCAGTAGATCTAGTCCGAACCTGGCCCTGGGTTGGAGTTAGAACCTCAGATTTGTCTGCGTTCAACCTGAAAATGGATTCCTTGTCAATTATTATTTCGGTCGGTTGTATAGGGAATCCAAGCGTAATGTAATTTTAAGTGAAAATTCATGCAAAGAGTGCAATTAGCAACGGTATCCTTGAAACCTTAAACTCATCAAAAATGTGGAAGATAACGTCGTTTTTCTGACACAAAAAGTGTTAATTCTGATAATTTCTTCGTCGTTTCTCAAAAGCAAAAACTGCGTAAGTTGCGCTTGCAGAGAAACCACAAATGAAAATAAACAGTAAATATAAACAAAAACATGGATATCTAATTCAGAAAAAGCTTGTAAGGGTACATAAAGTAGGGCATTGTCAATTTGTCATCTTTGCAAGGAGGGTCATTTAAATTTACGGTACAGTCCATTTAAAACAGCAAACTAATATTCACCTATACATGGATTCTAGTACAGTGTTTATAAATCAAAAACTATGATAACCAATTTTACTCATTTGCAAGTTAAATCTGTTCCCCAAGTTTCCATTACGTAATGGGTGCATAGGAAATCAATCTATAATCCAGGCAATCTGATCTAAAAGAATCCGATCTAAGTGGACTTAGATCTAAACAAAATTTTAGACCAAGTTCCAATTATTTCGGGAAAAATGTGGAATTTGATCTAAAATTTGGATTTTATATATTTTCAGTCAAAAATGTCATTTAAAAATATTTATTTTTGAAAACAAATATTTTAGATCCAATTCTACATATTACAGATAAAGTACAGAATTCTGTATTTAAAAATAGTAGAATTAGGTCTAAAAAATGTATAATCTGATCTAAAATATGAAGAATTCGATCTAAAAAATGTATAATTTGATCTAAAATATGAAGATCCTGAACCCATGAACCCAACTCTTTCACCATTAAGGTGTCAACCTTACACATTTTTTAACTTTTAAATCTAATATTTTTAATCAAATTATAAAATTTTAGATTAAATCATTAAAGTCTACATTTTTTAGAATAAAGTAAACACTTTTTAGATCAAATTCCATATTTTAAGCAAATAAAGTTAAAGATTTGAAGCATAATGGTTATCTGAAATATATATTTTTTGAAAAAACAAATTTTAGATCACATTCAACATATTTTAGATCCAATTAAACATATCTTAGATCAAAATCACAACTCTGGCAGAAGAAATTTTATGAAAATCTTCACTTGACAAATATACAAAAATGAACAGGGAGCTCAAATTTAAAAAAAAAAGATTTAAGATCAGATTCCACATTTTTTTAAATCAAATTCCAAAAATTTTCAGAAAAATGCGGACTTAGATCTAAAAAATTATTTCAGATCAATTTCCACGTTTTTTAGAATAAATTCTCCTTAGATCATATTACTCTTAGATGAAATTCCTTTTAGATCAAAAGGTTCATAGATTATTTTCCGGAACAGGGCGTAATGCGTATATCTTATACCGTTTAAAAATCCCTCCTTTTTGTTCGAGTGAACAGAATATAATCTATCAAAGTTTTAAATCTATCCAAATCTTTAGATGAACATGAGAAATACCGGAAAATAGGCCCAATCAATTCCATCTTTTCATTCATATCCTTTAACTTAATAAATTGTGTAAGGTAAGTATACAAACAACAAAGTTTACCTGGATTTTTCGATAATGTCAACGTTGAAAATAGGCCCATAAGGTTCGGACTGGAGTTTAAGGGACGGATCCGAAAGTTTTGGAGAGAGAGAACTAGATTTAGTTGAGTATCCGGAATCGTCTGGTTCCGGACGTAAATTGTTGGTTCCACTCCAATCCTGAAATTCGTTCTGGCAGGAGCCGCTGGAGTGACGAGACGGATTCTTGTCTCCCTGCTCCTCACTAGTCCGGTGCGGTTTATCCTTCCCCTGCTTACTCCGTCCTTGGGTTCTAGTTGGAGTTCTCCTGGGTGTACTAGGCTTAGGTTTATTTTGTTTCTCCCCTAGCTTCTGTTAAAAAATATCGAATATAAGTTGAACTAGATTTGATTTCAATTTAGAAAATGTCAAGAAAGTTTATTCCAAAACTGAAAGAAATTCGAAATCCCAAACTAAAGAAACAAGGATATTAATTAATTAAAGCAAAAGTCGATATTTTCCTTTTTTACTGAGGATTCAGAAAGCCGTCTTTTCTCTCGTACACTAAAATAAATTCAAATTATAAAAAGGAATTTATTGTATGTAGAACAGGGGTGTATATTTTCCTAAAAAATAATCCCCCCCCTCCTTTTAGACAATCATTTATTTTCCCCAGAAGTTAGGGAAAATAAATATTCTGAAAAATATACACCCCTGAGGTAGACATAACTTTAAAGTAACTTTCGACTGGAATTAAAATACAAGTTTACTGGACTCTCTTACCCGCAAACATAATTTAATAATGACAATTTAAGATTTTGCAGATTATTCAGTTTGCAAGTTATTCAGACTTCCAAAATTTAAAAAAAAATTATTTAATTGGTTTTAACCAGGCATGAAACCAACAGTGAAATCATGTGAGGTTCTTTACAAAATTTGGGTGCGATCGGTTCAGTTGTTCTAGTTTATTGGATACAGAAAACAGCCGACCCACGAGCTAATAATATAATAAAGATAATTGGATTTATTACCTTTTCTGTTTCAAGTTCAGGAGTTTAGGTCCCCGAATCAAAACCTGTTCTACAGGTTCTCTAAGTTTCTTGTTTCTCTCTGTGTTTAGAACAGACAAGGAAGGATCATCTGTATCCTCGGAATCACTTGTAACAAGGTTTACAAGAACCGCAGCTCTGAGAACATGGTTAGTAACTGGAGCAGGAGCCTTCAAACTTTTCCTTCCACCTTGAGAACTCGACTCATCATCCTTCAGAGTTATAAACTCACCTAAACAGGTTAATTCTCCGTCAACAGGGGCGGGAGTATTTCTTCCACCGCCAAGGCTGGATCTTCTGCCTACCGGAGTAGATCTTCCGCCGACCAGACTAGCCCTTCCGCCTACCGAGTTAGCTCTTCCTCCTACCGAGTTAGCTCTTCCACCGCCCTGGATAGCCCTTCCGCTTACTGGCGTAGCTCTTTCGCCACCTGGGGTAATTCTTTCGCCACCTGGGGTAGATCTTCCGCCACCTGGGGTAGATCTTCCGCCGCCTGGAGTAGTTCTGCCGCCATTCTGAGTTAGACTATGAGGCGTCGTTCGTCCATTTTGATTTGAATAAAAAATCTTTCCATTAGATTTGATTTCATCCTGAAGGTTGTTAAGAAATGTTTGCTCTTTATATGTGTTGGAAATGTAGACTCCGCTTCTCTGGATACAATCTTGATACTCCTAGAGAAAACAATATGGTTGGATATCAGGGGTTTTAGGATATCAGGATATCAGGGGTTTTAGGATATCAGGATATCAGAATGATTAATAATACCCTTGTTGTTTTAAAAATGCCACCCCAAAAAAATTAAAGAATCATGAAAGAGGAATGGAGTCTTTTCCACAAACTCAAATTTTCTAACCCGCATATTTTAAAACTCAATGTTGTAAACCTTAGATATTTAAACCACTGATGTGTGATAACTTAAACTAGACATTCAGCAAGTGATCTAAAAGAATTNTCAGGAAAAATGATTATACGCAACCATGAAAAAGCTACCTTACCAATTCATGATATTTTGGGGGAAAATTTTTATATTTGGGGGCACTCATTACTTCAGTTTGGGGAAAATTTCTGTGGGAAAACTATACTTCAGGGAAAATAAAATTTTTTGCGGGCAATTTTTTTAGTTGGGGGAAATTTTAACTTTAGGGGGCTTTTTTCTGTTTTGTCAATTTTGTGTATGGGAAATCTTAAATCTTTATTTTGGTGAAAAAAACCCTCATTAGGACAGACCCTAAGAATATAAAAAATCCAAATTTCGGGGCATTTTCAAAGAAAGGGGCATAACTACAAAGAATCTGAGCTTGTGATGAAAAATGTTATACTGGAATTTGAATTTGCTTCAAGAGTGTAGGGTTTAACAAAAAATTAGTTATTTTTGGAACTATATGGACCCCTGTTAAAAACTTCTTGCCCCCCCCCCCACCTACATTGGGACTCAAAAATATTGTTCTATTTTGTAAAATTGAAATGTCTACCTTTGTATTGCTGCAGCCAGGGCATGTTAATTCCTTCCTAGAGATTCGAACCTGAACACAGGAACAATGCAGAACCTTTTCGCAACATGATACCCTGACTATGTCTTGGTTCCTGATTCCCCAATTGCATAATCTACAAGTTCCTTCGCCGGATGGTTCCCGGGTAGAGTGCTGGGAGCAAGTTATGGTTCCAGATAAATAGTTTATCCTGCCCTGAGCAGAGGTGATACAGCTCAGATGAAAATATTTTGAGCACTTCTCATTCTCACATTTAACTGTCGCTCGATCTTTTTCACAGTGTTCACAATTTGTGTTTTCAAGGTTGGAAATCAATTCCGTGTACTTAGCTCTGTCTGTTGAATCGCTTACAAATCTGAGACAGTTAATGTGGGCTTTACATCGTAAAGATTCTATAAGTTTTCCTAACCGGGGATTGTAAACATTAAAGCACAATTCACAAGCTAGAGCACTGTTTATTAGAATATTTCGATTCAAAACTTGTGTTTTCTCCATTCTTTAAAATGCGGGAACTTTTAAATTCACTGTGCAGTGCATCATCAGCTGTGCACTGTGCAGTGTGATTTGAATTCAGCCCGCGCCAGCCCCAGCCCGTTCCTTCCAAGGAGTATGCAATATAATGGAGAAAGGATTGACCCGGGCCGCCCTTCCATATGATTATGCATGCTTTGAAGACGGTACTCAATTTGAATACGAAATATACTTTCCCTAACAGTCTTCTGTACAAATACCGCGTACATGGATTTAGTGTACATTACACAGCGAAAAAAGTAGGCTGAATAACGCCAAACAAACACATTTTCTGACATGCAAAAATATTGGCAATATAAACTTATTTTCATATCGGTTTTATTTCATATGGTAAAGTAAAAAACACATTTAAAAATTAATGGTAGGCCGGGCCGGGTCGTTTCCTTCTCTATTATGTTTTATACTCCATGGTTCTTTCCTTACCGACACTACCGGACCCAACACATGGGACACAATGTACCGACACGGACAAACGTTGGTTTGCACCGACAGGGGAAGGGGGGTTGGATTGTAGTATTATGATAAAGAGGAGGGGGGGAGGNGCGCGTTCATCTACAGCGAGCGGGGGAAGGCAGGCGGCCAGAAGCCACAGCATTTTCCCCTTCCATGCCACATATTATCTTTTTGTCTTCCGGCAGCCACAACCGTGCAGTCTTCCATGCATGCCACAGCATTTGAGTCTTCCGGTCAAAACTACTTTTTTAAATGGTATATTTAGGGATTTTAAAAAATCCAGCAACGTTACCTAAAAAAACACAACTTAAATAATTTTTTTTTTTCAGCTCAACTTAAGATTAATATACTGTGTGTTGATTTGTCAAACTGCTTTACAATGAAATTTTTGGCAAATTTGACTGAGTTTTGCATCTTGACAAAGTCTAACACCCAATTACCCAGCAAGAAAAAATACCTAGAAAAGAGGATTAAAGGTGCACCATTAATCCTGTTGTGGAGTTCAAAAAGCGGAACTCCGATTCTCCAAAAACAGTAGTTCTGTGCAGGGGCCGTTACAGGATTAAGTGAGGTGTGTGCTTAATTAATTTTGGTACAAAAAAATTCTGATTTATTAACAAAAAGACGTTCCGTAGGGGGAAATTTTTTTTTACTTAAAAGACTCAAAAAGATCGTCAAATATATAATGATTAAAGACAAAAAACTAGATTTTTAACTTATCACACATTATAGTCTATTAAGACAGATATTTTTCCTGTTTTGCACTAAGGTTTTCTTTCCCTTAAGTGCTACTGAGAAGCTATTCTGAAAATAGGGGGGAAAAATTCCAAAAACAGAAACAAAAACATCAGGATGCGAAGCACATTTTTATTTTCTTCTAAAAAAAAATCACAAATTTGACTAGTAAAGATATAGGAAAAGAATAATTGTTTACAATTTATATATGTTTGGTATCATAATTCATTAATCATAACCATATCATATTTAAGACTGCAGCAGTATATTATATTGGTCTTTTTATTTACTCTTTTGTATATTATTAATGTTTCTTTTTATAATTTGAAAACTGTCCCCTTTAAATATAAATTAAAATATAAATGTAACTTTTTTGGTAGAGGGAAGTGGTTATAATATGGACAGAACTACAGACCATGCCAATGCTTGTTTTAAGAATAAGGTTATCCATGGGCGTATACAGAAATAAATTTGGAGGGGGGTGGGCGAAATTTGCTACGCCCCCCTTTACAGGTCTAGGGGGCACTTCCCCCTTGCCCCCCCTGTAGGTTTTCGGGTTAATATCAGAAAATTTAAAAAGAATGAATCATTTTATGAAATTGTATAAGGCTAATATAAAATATTGCATGCAGAAAATACTAGGTTTTTCGAGTATGTTTGTCTATTTTTGCGTTAAAGCTATTTCACCACATGGTGTTCCACATCAAATAAGATCATTTATAGCTCCCCTGTAGGTTTTCGGGTTAATATCAGAAAATTTAAAAAGAATGAATCATTTTATGAAATTGCATATGGCTAATATAAAATATTGCATGCAGAAAATACTAGGTTTTTCGAGTATGTTTGTCTATTTTTGCGTTAAAGCTTTGAGATAATCCAATATGATATGGGCCGCTCTGTATCTTCGATCAACAGAGACGACATTGCGAAATCTATCTTTTTGCATGCATAAATACCAGGTTCCATGAATTCCATGCCAGATAGCTGTTGAACTTANTTTAGTATGTCAAAAAGGCCCTCTATAGAAGGGAGCAATTAATGTAAGAGAATTTACATAAATACCGTGCATTCGTATCTCAAGTCTCATCCTTTGTGGGTATCCCTTTATATAACCGAAAATATTGCTATGGAAAATTCTTAATATGCATATTGCATACAGCACATATGTACAATACATATTATTGATAAAGTATATTTACTATAAATAAATACATTATACATACATTATATTAATTTTATAAAGAAGGAATTGATGCACCATGGTTTTCTTTTATTATGATTTTTTTAAAAATAATTCTATAAACATGAAACAAGAGAACAAAAGTTTAGTACTAGAAACAGAAGAACAAGAGATTTGTACTTGAAACAGGAGAACAAGAGATTTGTACTAGAAACAGGAGAACAAGACATATGTACTAGAAACAGGAGAACACGAGATTTGTACTAGAAACAGGAGAACAAGAGATTTGTACTTGAAACAGGAGGACAAGAGATTTGTACTAGAAACAAGAGAACAAAAGATTTGTACTATAGAAACAGGAGAACAAGAGATTTGTACTTGAAACTGGAGGACAAGAGATTTGTACTAGAAACAAGAGAACAAGAGATTTGTACTATAGAAACAGGAGAACAAGAGATTTGTACTAGAAACAGGAGGTCAACAGATTTGTACTAGAAACAAGAGAACATGAGATTTGTACTAAAAACAAGAGAACAAGAGATTTGTACGTGAAACAGGAGAACATGAGATGTGTACTATAGAAACAGGAGAACAAGATATTTGTACTAGAACCAGAACAACAAGAGATTTGTACTAGAAACAAGAGAACAAAAGATTTGTACTATAGAAACAGGAGAACAAGAGATTTGTACTAGAAACAAGAGAACATGAGTTTTGTACTATAGAAACAGGAGAACAAGAGATTTGTACTAGAAACAAGAGAACATGAGATTTGTAGTAAAAATAAGAGAACATGAGATTTGTACTTTAGAAACAGGAGAACAAGAAATTTGTACTAGAAACAAGAGAACATGAGATTTGTAATAGAAACAAGAGAACAAGAGATTTGTACTAGAAACAAGAGAACATGAGATTTGTACTAAAAATAAGAGAACATGAGATTTGCATTAGACACAGAAGAATATGAGATTTGTACAAGAAAAAAGAGAGCATGAGATTTGTACTAGAAACAAGAGAACAAGAGATTTGTACTAGAAACAATAGAACAAGAGATTTGTACTAGAAACAAGAGAACATGAGATTTGTACTAGAAACAAAAGAACAAGAGATTTGTACAAAAGAAAAAAGAGAACAAAAGATTTGTACAATAAAACAAGAGAACAAGAGATTTGTACTAGAAACAAGAGAACAAGAGATTTGAACAAGAAACAAGAGAACAAAAGATTTGTACAAGAAACAAAAGAACAAGAGATTTGTACTAGGGACAAGAGAACAAGAGATTTGAATTAGAAACAAGAGAACAAGAGATTTGTACTAGAAACAAGATAACATGAGATTTGTACTAGAAACAAGATAACAAGAGATTCATACTGATAAGGATTAATAAAGAGTATAGTGATATAAACAGGAGAACAAGAGATATGATTACCACTAGAATCATGGGGGGCACCAACAGCCCTCATTTTTTGTAAATAAAATTTTTTTTTATATTTTTTGTTTTAGGTTGCAGAGTTTAAGGGAGAATATGTTATCCAACCTTTCAGAAAACTTTCCTTAAAACTAATCAAACAGAACATATTTTAACTGCAAAAGTGACTTGCGCATTTCTTGCTTCAGAAACAAGGGAGAACGAATCGGAATTGTATTTATGCCAGATTCCACAATATTGATCATATTAAAGTTTGATAGATACCGTTTTAAATCGATGAATTTAAAAAGTTTATAATTTTATTGCATTAATAGTTTGTTTTTTAATCAAAAATAATAAAAAAAACAGTTTCCAAACTCAAATATATCATATATGTATAATATAATGCACATTAGATTAATTAAAATAACAGGTAGGGCACTAGATGTTGCTTTTCAAGATTTGAGTGAAACTCGTTCACAATAATCTTGAATCAGAAGCCCAGAGGAGTTTCGCGCAGTCGGCCTAAAACATGCTCTTTCTATCTTGTACAGTGATAGCCAGAAAAGACGACATTAATGCAATGATAAGTGCATTTGACGTTGTCACAAACCAAATAGTTTTAATAGTGAGTTATTTAATCATTTATTAAGAGAAATGGGTCTTTTTACCTTGCACAATTGCCGGGTCTCATGTACATTGGGCTATTGAAAGTCATAATTTGAGTCTAAAAGCCGTCTTCCTATTCCAGAGTTTTCTGGTTATCACTGTAAGTCTACGCCGACTGCGCAAAATTCCTCTGGGCTTCTGCCTCAGGGTTGTTGTGAACGAGTTTCATTGACATCTTGAAAAGACGACATATAGTGCCCTATCTGTTATCTTAATTAATCTATGATAATCCAAATGATGGGATTTGGTTAAGTATGTAAAAGTTTAAATAAAAATGATATTAAAATAAATCTGAATCTGGACGGATAAGATTGGTTGAACTATACAGGAGGTTTTCATGCTATTTGATCGGGACGAGGACGGAGTTTTATCATTCCAGGAACTCCAGGTTATACTTTGATATATGATATTTATAGAGATATATTCATTCACTGTAGAATCGTCTCCGATGTCTCTTTTTTTGTGGGTAACCTAGTTCACCTAGTAGAACCAAATTACAGTTGTTTGTTATCTGAAGTAGCCTCTGAACAGCCGTATTAATACAGAAAAAATATTACAGCATGCAATGTTAGAATCCGGCAAGCTAAATACTATCAATTGGTTAAAGCGTAAAAATAAGGCGTTTTATTGTTTATTAACTCCCTTGTATACGTGTTTTANTCTCCCTTGTATACGTGTTTTAACCATTTCAACATAAAAGCAATAGTTCTAACATGTTATTTTAAAACAGGAAAACACAAATAAGTAATTTCCTCTCAAATGTCGTCTTACTTTAAAATTGTCAAACAATTAGTCTTTATTCAAGATCTAGTTAATTTTCTTATGTCCCTCCTCCAGGTTTTATCTGCAACATATCTGTGTTCGGAATGAATACAAAAATAGGTTGTTTTACTTAAAAGATTTATGAAACCGATTTTTGAGCTTAAAAATTGATTAATATTCATTTTTAAAAATTTTGCAAAGTTAAGTATTTCTGGCTGAATTGTTAGTTATTTTCAAAAAAAAAAATTAAATTTACTAAATTAGAACAAATGATGTGTAGGACAAATGATTTGTAGGTTAAATGATTTTAGGACAAATGATTGTAGGACAAATGATTGTAGGACAAATGACATAGCGCCTGTTCGTGGTAGAAATTAAATTTTAATCGAAAGTCGTCCTTATTGTATTAATATAAAAGACTTTAACGTTACGATTGTAACGGTTGAACAAATTGGAAGTTTTTGAAATTTTCAAAGGATATACAAAAATCTGAGAGGTTTTAAAAATCTTAAGTTTGTTTATTCAAATCAGTTGCTATGCCAAACTTTAACCCTGAGAGAACTGAGAAGATGCTGTAGTGTATAAACGATTCAAATACTATCGTTTTATGGTGACCTTGACGATTTCCTTATATTTTCTCTGCAAGGATAAAATTCATAATTGTAAAAAAAACTTACAAATTATGCAGTTTTGAATTTGATTGAAATGATTGAATCTTTGCAGAGATTTTCGTGGAACCTTATGTCCAAAAACCTTAAAAGTTAATCATTTGAAAACGATGACTAAGACGACATGTAGCTGGGAAGACGACTTTCATATTAATCATAATTCAAAATTTAAAGAAAATTACATTTTGGGCGTCCAAGATGCTGTAAATGTCGTCTCCTATTCCTTGACTCTCATATCAGGATATTATTGCGTTTATTTTTATTTAATCGAATGTTATTTTGATAAATCCTAGGTTGTTATGAAATCCTTGGGACAAAGACCAACAGAGGAGGAACTTCTTGCAGCAGTCAGAGAGGAAACCTATATATTTTATCCATACATTTTATCCATACATTTTATCCATACATTTTATCCATACATTTTATCCTTACATTTTATCCTTACATTTTATCCATACATTTTATCCTTACATTTTATCCTTACATTTTATCCATATATTTTATCCATACATTTAAACCATATATTTTATTTATACAGTTTATCCATACATTTTAGCCTTACATTTTATCCATACATTTTAACCACACATTTTATCCATACATTTTATCCTTACATTTTATCCGTAAATTCAAACCATACATTTAAACACGTTTCAATCAAAAGTAATTAAATCATAGATTTAAACTATACGTTTAAATCCTATATTTAATCCACACATCTAAAAGATGTATTTAATTAACATGAATTAAAAAATGAATCACGAATTATGTCTCTATAACTAAAGTTAAAAATATCAAAGGTATTACACCAGCAGGTTGCAAAGATATAGGGATGACAACTAGTTATTTCTTCTGATAAGAATATTGTTTGGTTTGTTAGGTGAGTGAAGACTATATCTATGATACTGTTGAATTCAATGAATTCCTCCAAATGATGGCAAAACAACAGGATCTGACACACTCTGCAGATGCAGTAGCAGAAGCATTCAGGTTCAAGTCTATTCAGGGAAAAATAAATTTTTGAATTCACAAATTAAATTTTACAATATTTTATGGTAATGATGATGTTCAGGGTTACGGACAAATGATGAGACTGCCATAAATAAAGTTGTTTATTGGCTTACTTAATGATTTCGCAACCAAAAAAACATACAAATGCAAGAAAACAAGAATTTAAGCGAAAGAATGATATAATTCCGAATAGTCGTCATTAAAGTCTCATCTTTTGTGGGTAACCCTGTATAGGTTGTATTATTATAATTATATAAACAGAGCTGAAAACTTTAGAATGGGATATCCTTAATCCCGATCTGTTATTTAATCTGGAGATTAATAACATGAGGAGAATAAGCATTATTTAATCTTGCGATTAAGAAAAAGAGTGGATCAAGCATTAATCACGATATCCACCATTCAAAAGTTCCCAGCTCAGATTGTATTATTATAATTATATAATGAGATTGTATTATTATAATTATATAATCAGATTGTATTATGATAATGATATAAACAGATTGTATTATCATAATGATCTAAACAAATTGTAGTATGATAATGATATAAACAGATTGTAGTATGATAATGATATAAACAGATTGTATTATGAAAATGATAACAACAGATTGTATAATTATAATTATATAAACAGATTGTATTATTATAATGATATAAATAGATTGTAGTATGATAATGATATAAACAGATTGTATTATGATAATGTTATAAACAGATTGTAGTATGATAATGATATAAACAGATTTTATTATTTTAATGATATAAACAGATTGTATTATGATAATGATATAATCAGATTATGTTATAATAATGATATTAACAGATTGTATTATGATAATGTTATAAACAGATTGTATTATGATGATGATATAGACAAATTTTATTATGATAATGTTATAAACAGATTGTAATATGATAGTTATATAAACAGATTGTATTATGATAATGATATAAACAGATTGTAGTATGATAATGATATAAACAGATTGTATTATGATGATAATGATGATAATGATGATAATGATGATAATGATGATAATGATGATAATGATGATAATGATGATAATGATGATAATGATGATAATGATGATAATAATGATGATGATGATGTTGTTGATGGTTATAATGATGATGATGTAGATGATAATAATAATGATTATGAAGTTGATGATGATGTGCCCAGGATGTTTGATGATGATGATGATGATGGACATCTATCTGTAACTGAGCTAACTGAGGTTGTTACTGAACTAGGGGAATCTCTCACTAAAACAGAGTTGAATCAGATGCTCAAACAAGCAAAGTAAGCCATTCTTCTAAGATTCTCTATAAACATGACAATTCAATGATGAAAAAGTGTAATATTCATTATGCACAAAGGATTAGACAAATACGTACAATGCACTTTATTTACTCTTTCAGAGCAAATATTTCAAAGGAACTCAAAAACCCAAGTGACTGCAAACTGCAATATTATAGTTTAGTCATTAAAATTTTCTGTTTTTATATTGAAAGGGTTTTTTTTGAGCCATGGGGCACGACTTCTAAGAGTGGGGTAGTCAGAAAACAGTGTAATAATTGTCGTCTTCTTTCTTTCCTTTTAGGATTTGTTTATCTACGTAGTTTGTAATTGTTTAACTGATGTGTTTGGGACAAAATTTAGAAACAAATATTCACTCTCACTTATGTCGTCTTTGCTTCCAGATTATTCCGGGTAACCTTGTATTCTGTGTTTTGTTATAGATGCTTAACAGAGCCTGAGGCACTAGACAAGGGGGATATAAACTATCAAGGTAAATATTTTAACATATTTTACATATTGTTCATTTCAGCAAATATGGAAATGAAAAGAGTTTTTATCTTAAACTTTTATAGAATAAGAACCATAATTCTTTGTTTTTAAAAATAACCTTTCTAATTATGTACAGTGGGAACCAGAAAAATTAAAGAAATAAATAAGTATATTTGTTGTTGTTAAAAAGCTAAAAGTTTCAAAAGTAAAATTTTTGAACACTTATTGAGTGAAATGGGTTTGTTTTTACTGCACAACTACTGTGTCTCATATTCATTGGACTATTTAATATTATACTTTGAGGGTAAAAGACGTGTTATTATTCCAGAGTATTATAGTTCTCATTGTATATGATTTTTTTCAGCATTTGCTGAGTTCCTCTGTCGTGATCATGAAGCTGGAGATGGAGAAACATAGGAGTCCTAGTTTATGGAGCAGACATTCATACCTGGATCCTAGTTTATGGAGCAGACATTCATACCTGGATCCTAGTT